TGTTCACTGACATCAAAGACACTATCATTGTTAAGATGATATTCAAGCAACGGGAAAATGGCTGATTCGCTGAGTTCTCGGATAACTGGTTTACTGATATGAACCGGATATCGATCTATGAAATGTAAATGCTCAGTGGTAGAAAAGTCCGGTGACGCGCAGTAGATATATGCTGTTACAGCATTTAATAGCCAAATGAGATGCTCCTCCCGAATTAGACGCTCTTCTACCTGCATTCAAACAAGGCTACTATCAATTTTGTGCAACTTATCGGCTGATAATTTACCGTCATATATGCTTTTGATAAATTATAAGATTACTGCGAAAACAATAAATGAGAAATTCATTACATAATTAAACAATAAGAAATTTACTATAAAAATTCTCTCCCATTCCTTTTTATTCTAAATTCCTTTAGTTCCTAAAATAACTCAACCGTCCGTTCAATATTCCACTGGCTGCGAGTAGAGCCATGCCCGTAACCGACACCTTTCTGGATATATCCTGTACAACTGCTTATCCTTGTGGATTGCTGTTCCCTCTTTCTTCTATTGTGAACAAATTCTGACCTGAAAGCATTTCCGTAAGTACCATACTTTCCAAAGTGGGACTTTAAACTGAAATCCCAACACATTTGATTTAAATTAATGGCTACAAAGTTATTAAAAGCACTTTTCCTCATCCTCTGGTTAACCAGATATGCCAAAATAGATTTTTTGACTAGTATGTTTTTTATATTTTTAACAGAAATAAATGTTTGCTTATTTGATACCCAAAGCACATTTGCTGCTCCCATTATCTACGAGTAAAATGGTTTGTTTTTGGGTAGTTTTAGGGAAAATTTGTTATATTCGGAGGAGATTTGTTTATTAAGAAAGCTGTAAAATTGTCATCCATCTTAATAATTAATGAATAATTAATATTTGAAAACCGAGCCAGAAAGTCATTATCAATATTTTGTTAGCAACACTATTTTATTTCTATGGATACGCCATGAATGTCAATGTAATCGATTATTTTCCGTTGTCAGTTATTTAGAAGGACTTCATAATATTATTTAAAAATATGAATAACACAACCTATTTAGTTTATTAATACCGCCACATTCAGCTATCGTTTCACATATTCTTCTAAGGACACCAGCTTGAAATAGCTGTAATTTCTCTTCTGAACTACAATCACTTATAATCCTGAAAGAGTTCATAAATATTATGACAAAGTTGGATCAAAATTAGAACTGCTAATTTTGAATGGGAAAATATAATAATTACACATATAATAAGCATTGAAAGATGACTAAACCACTAATGATAAATTTATTCATAGGCGTACTACTACCTAGTAATGCGTAGCATATTGGTCATTCGTAAAGGTTTCTGAGTAAGCGTGAGTAAAATGCGTTCTGAGATTGTTGAAGCATCTTCTGGTTCAGGACTTGACGGTGATGACACCATTGTACCCATCATAATATGTTTATGAAATAAACTGATCATATAATTGTGTAAAATAGGCATAATAGGATTCCAGTGAAGCATTTGATGCTCAAAAATGAAACATCCAACTAATCATATCAATTACCTTCATAATTTCTCCTAACTACAGTACATATGTTAGCTGATGACTTATCATCACAAACTTTAGAAATCAAGTGTTACCAAGTTCTATACAGCAAAAACTACTAGACAAATTTTTTTAAGTAAAAAAGACCTGGTAAGAGCACAAAAGTTATAAAGGGTTACACCAGCTTTATAAGAAAGAGAAGAGAAGTTCGAAATAGCTTTTTTTTTGAAATGAATAGACATAGGCACTATAAACAATGGATATAAAAGTCATATACAAGGCCTTCAAACCTGTAATGCTTCATCGATGTGAGGAAAACGAAAAGTGTAAAGGTGAGATTCGCTAAGCTAAGCCTAAGCAGGCTTTATTAACTACTATGTTTTTCATCGGACAATTATTATAACATTCTATACTGCGAAGCAACGGAGCATTGCAAATATATAGTAAACACATAAAATCTATTTTAGTTTTTGTTTCCGTGAAATCAAAAATAAACTTAAAATCTAATTATCAGCTGAAGCTTAAACAGAGTTAATGTGGACTTAAATTCAAACTCGTTTTTTTTTTTTCATATATATTAAAAACAAAAGTTAATGCCGTGATGCATTAATTTTCTCTGTTTTGTCTGCATTACTTGAGCCAGCAAAAAAATATTTTTTCATAAATTAGCTCTTTCAACCGAGAAAGGAAAGATAAAGAATTAATTAAAGAAGTTGTGCTTTTCTTCTTTTTCTATTTTGCAAAAATTTCGAACTTAAACTGTGCAAAATCCTGGTAAATGAGAGAGTAAGTATGAATGAGATTAAGGCAATGATTCATCCTGTATCGATTTGACTCTAATATAGATTTCTTATGAAACCAACTATTTAATTAATCTAACTAACCAAGCTGCTAGCTAGGATTAAAAGATTATTTCTCACCGTCTAGTTAAGAATGTATCTATCTCGGTTTTCTTCAAAATATATTTGTAAACGATATAATTATTATTAATATGTGATTTGAATTGGATAAGTTAGGCTTACTTTTTACGTCGACTTTTCCTTTTGATTAATAAGGATTAGATGAAGATCAGTCTACTCAATCGCAGAATCCATTACGATTCGTCTGTCTGTGTTCCACCGATGAAAAAACTTAGTTCAAAAACAGACGATATTTTCTCTATTGTTTTCACTGCCAATAAATATCTCTTAAAGCTGCCATTTGCTTGCCAAGTTAAGCGCATGCCATTGTATTGAAATTGAACCAAATTGTAATTGATTGAAGTGGGATGATTGAAAAATGATTGAAAAAGTCTGAATTAAAATAAATTTGTTCATTTAATGCCATCTCCCCTCGGTGGAAAATGATGAGCCAAACTTATTACAGAAAAAAATATCTCCAACCCTCTTAACTTGCTCGGTTATCTTTCATAATATATTTTGTGATTTTACTTGAATCACTTATCGAAAAAAGTAAGACACTTTGTAGAACTCCACTGAAAATAATTCCATATGATTTTCAGCTAATTAAACCATGAAGATATCAGAACAAAATTTTGACTTCTTGATTATTCCAAATGTAACTTCAAACTCCTACATGATCTAACTCATTTTAAAATTCATGTACCTAAAAGATATCTGAAATTTCGATTTGCCAGCTACACTTGCATGTCATCATGGTGACTAAATACATTTTAATTTTCAATTACTGCATATCAGACACCTGTGCTTTTACTGGTAGTATTCTCACCATGGTTTAATTAAAATTATACATGTTTCCGAAATTCTTGTAAGAATTTAAATACTTCGCTCATTCAACGTGAGAAGCATGATGGTTAAAAGTTTATTCTCAACAGTTTATACTTGAAATAGTCAATGGTGCATAGTATAACGTAACAATCATAGTAATGGGGAGAAAAGATAGGAGGAATAAAGAGAACAGAAGACAAGAATTTCTTTGGAGAAAAGAAGATATACAAATTATATAATAAGTGATCATCAATAGTAACGCATAAACAAACGGATAATTGTAACTATGGCAGTAAAAGGTTAAAATGAAGTAATGGAGGAAGTGGCAGTGATGCAAAGATTGCAACGGATACAAAGGCTTTTCTTTACTGATCAATTCAATTTGTCACTAGTTGAGAATTCCAAATATGCTTACTCTCTATTCATTCTCATCTCTCTGTCATATTGATCATTTAGGCGAGATCGATGCAAACTATTAAATAGATCCAAATATATTATAAATGAAATAAAAAAAAGTGTTCTTAACACTGTTTCTACCAGTTTTATTTTAAAAAAATTTAAGTTGGTTTCACTTTATTTCATCTTTCTTTATTCTGTTGACTGAAACAATAAGTGCTATGGGGATTTAAAGACAAAGAAAATTTGCCAATATAAGGTACTCAAGAAAATACAACAAATACTGAGGTAACCCTTACTAAAACATGAACAATTAAGTGAATGAAAAAAATTAATATTTGGATTTGAAATGACATATAAGAGTGATGCAAAAGTCTATAATTAAAAAACGAACCTTTTTTTCAGAGTAATTAAATTATATATTGAAGTAATATTTCCAAATCATCTTATCTATACTCTTACTAGTGAAAGTAAAGTCAAAGCCTCTAATGTGATTACCACGGTTCTCACTGCTATCACTACACTCATTATTAGAGTTATTATCAATACAGCATCATGTAGATACTGTTATTTCTACCAATGCTACTGCAAAAATGAAAGAAATCGATGAGGTGCTATTTTTAGGATAATATGTCAGTGTTTTAAAAGTATGAATTCTTGAAAAGTTAGTTTGATTATCACTTTCTTAATTAGTAACAAATAAGTTTAAAACAATCTTTTATAAGTAAAAAACAAAGGAAAATTGTGAAAAAAAAATAAATTATAATCAAATATAACCAAACCAAAAGGATTACTACATATATCACAGTCGAAGGATAAATATCAGTGGTCAATATCGGCAAACAATATAACATGTCTTGACAAAAATGTAGCGAACAAGTACTCGCAACCTCAGGAATAACTCCTTTTAACAAAAACAAAAGTGCCTTATAAATAAGTATGAAAGAGAGAATAGAAAGTGCTTCTAATAGATAAAGAAACATGCAGAAAGGAATTCGTTCAGCGAATGTCAACATCAGAAGATGCATTTCTCTTTTCTATTTCTCCTTTGAAATTGAAATAGAATTAAATTAAAGAAAGGAATGATTAGCCTACACATGTGATAAGCAAAAATTTAAACCAGTCCTTACCAGATTTAATATGCTCTTTAATTATTAGTATTGTTTTCCATGAAATAACTAATATACCAAATTTGTTCCTAATTGAAGCTGGCATTTGAGATTAAGGAGGAATTCAAAAAACGCGCATGCACAAGATACCAAGCAAGTCACATGCTCGCAATATTTGCTAGCAACCAGGACATGCACCAATTTATCCTCAGCATCGTCGCACGTTGCATATTTCTCGCTCATATTCATTTCCAGAACACTGCCCACCTTCGCCATAGCATTTGCGTACCCGCTTCCGGACACCTCTACCGCATGTTTCAGAACACGGTGACCAATAACCCCAACCTAAAAGCTCTTATTTGGTGCCACTGAGTTCGGGTTAGTTCTGATTCTGATAGCTTGGAATAGACCCATTTCACAAGACTTCAATCTCTGATCAAGAAAGGATCTAAATGAATTTATCTTACATCTGCCTTCAAACATTTCGATCTTACCACCGATGACATAAGTAAATACTAGGAATTACATAACTTTAGTTTTATAAATGGTATATCCGTTGTTTATGTCATCACCAATAATTCTCTAAAACGGATTATCGCTACCTGTAGCTGATATTCCTCATTTTCACTTTACGATATTGTTAGAAGTAAAGAAAATCTGTTCATATCAATCATAAAAGAATAAAGAGTAATAAAAGCCTTTTAATTAGCATAACACTAATTAGTATTGTGTTGCTATCCATATTTACGGAAGATGACAGAAAAAAAATCTAATTCAATACCAAAGCTAAATACGAGTTTTAAGATTATGATAAAATACTCCACCACATTAGTGGAATTTTTATCCTAAATTATTACCACATATTCCATTAGATAATAGTGAAAATACTAGAGGTCAATCGTTTTCGTCATTTCTTAAATTGAAAATAAGCGAAAAGAGTCAACTAAATTTGTGTTTATAAGGTTATGCTCGAACATGAAAGAAAGCAAACTGAGAAAGAAAGTTAAAATTGTCTAATGAATGCAGGCTTTTTTGGAAAGGAGGAAAAATCTGCAGACGAACAGAAGTTACTACAGGAAAATTTGCAATAGTACGGGATCAGGTTCAGCAGTTCGCGATAAAGAACCGTTACTGAACAGCCAAAAGCGACGAAGATTTCGTTTTGCAAAACTTACATCTGTCAGGCCGATGGAACTGAAGGAATAATTGGTGCCTGATGCAGTTCTAACAGATGGCTCGGTGGTAACTAGACTACTACCATATGAGATCTCAGCCAAGGTAATAGCACCAGTGGAAGAGTACTTACCTCCCCACGAAGCAGTGGTTCCTGAAGAAAATGATTTGCAATGTTTAATCATGCACGGTAGTGAATCTTTAGATGGACCATTGCATGTCCCGCGTTGACAAAGTCGGGTACGCCTCTTAAAACCACCACCGCAAGTTGTACTACAAGTGCTCCAATCGGACCATCCAGACCACTGACCAACCGTTGTAGTTCCAGCTACCGTACATAGATTTTCGTTGCAATTTAGCTGCTCCAGACTACTTCCGAAACACCCATTTGTAGCTGAACACTTTCTAAAAACAGTTATAAGCATTATTTGAAATAAAGAGGGAAACACAACCTTAAAATTGAGAACTCTTTCTAGAAATTAGTTAATTAAAACTAACTATTAGAATTTACTTTTTACAGACTTTTTATGCGACAAATAAATAAATTTTATCAATCAAACAATACAAAGCACTTAGTAAATACCATGAATGCCTAGTTACCTCTTCCTGGTACGTACACCTTTTCCACAAGTCAAAGAGCATTGTGACCATGCTTCCCATTGCAACCATCGGATGCTAATTTCACAAGGACCCAAATTACATGACATTCTCGATTGCCCTGAACCGTCACATGGTTCCTGTTATTTAAAATAGTGTCTTTCAGTATTTAACCCAATGACAAAATTCTTCACAAATCAGAAAACACACTGCACTTAAATATCACTATCGTCCAACTTTAAAACTATCCCACCGGAAACTACTAAATGACTTTGGGTAAGCAAAAAGACATTTCAGTAGTGGAATTGCTCATATTTGATATATTGATGTTAACTGTGGCCGTGCTTTTTTTTTTTTTGTTAACTATTTACCTTAGTACAATAACGATTTCGATTTCGTATTCCCGGTCCGCAGCTAACTGAGCATTGTGACCACTCGGTCCAACTGCCCCATAAACCAACTGTACCCGTATTGCATTCACCCATATTGCACTGCCGTGTTTCCATCGAATTCTCTGAACCATTATTCCAAATTAGTTCAGCATTCATATTCTACATGATCTAATCTTCCATTTTCGGAATATAAATTCCAACATCTGAATAGTAGCATTAGGATATCTTTATGGTATCATAATCTCGAGAAAGCTTTGTACCTGGGCATGAAAAGGAAAGTGAATTATGCGAACTGAAGCACCGTCGATATCGTGCTTGCGATCCGATATCACATGACACGGAACACTGATTCCAAGAAGTCCATTCACTCCAACTACTTTTCTGATCCGACACTGTATTGGTACCGCAAGCCGATAAATTGCATTGAGTTTTCTCAGATGATACGCCCGAACATTGATTTTTTGTATTACTGCATGATCGAGTCCTATAACCTTCTATACATAGCATTTCTCATCCCTATGTAATATGAAAACTTAATAGCTAATCAATTTGAATCGCTATCATTTCATCAGTCAAAGCTTTTCAGCTTAATGAAAATCGAGCATTCATAAGGACAGTTTGCCAAATGTGTTAGTACAATAATTTTTTCTTGTTGTATTCTGCTTATTCATTCGAAAGGAACCATCAGAAATTGCCAGTACATTTAATTTAGAACTTGATCTTCAATATTTCAAGCATTTAGTATTTCATACGATTAAGAGCTACATAAAAAATTTACAGAATTCAAAAACTCAAGTTTTGGTGAGCTATTAAATTTATATGAAAACTTCATCAAGTTAAACATGATTTAGGCGAGGTTGAATATATAAGAAAAAGTTTCTCTAACAAGATTACCGCTGTCTATAGCCTATTCCACATGTGTGTGAGCAGGATGACCAGGTTGACCAGGATGACCATCGAGCTCCAGCACTAGTTGATACTGCATTGGTTATTTCGTTCTCCTGACGGCACCATTCACTGGCGATAGGACATGATAAGTCACGTGTGATTAATGCATTATTATCGCAAGACAATGGCTGCAAATAAAATGATCAGAAAAATCAGCACAGCACTCTCTACATATGCATAATATCTTAATTAGTTCTTTTCTCCATGGCATCTCATCTCGTCTGCAATCATTATTGAACAATTTTAAAAAACTAACAAGACATTCGCCATCTAAGCAATATTTATTGGTGCCACATGGAGCACCATCTGGAAGAATATCACCAAAAAAACGATAATTTCGCTGGGATCCATATCGACTTATCACATCACAAAACACCTAAACTGGCAGCAAACTACGACACTTCACGTAATTTTCAGCGAAATAAACCGATAATCCTATCTTTTACCGTCACGTTGATATTTAAAACTAAAAAATTATGATGCTCGTTTAATGCTTCATATGCCTTCACTCCGACTTTTGCGCAGAGATCTATCTCACACGCGGTAACTCCCAAATTTGACTTGAACTTTAATTGTTAGCAATAACCTTTGCTCACAGTTGGATTACTAGTGTTATGTGTTACTAAGTAAATCCAAATTTGTGTTGTCGGAAAAAAAAACCTTGTTGCGATCCTTTTCGTAGCAAAATTAGGCGTATTAAATATTTAAGTTGCATAGAATGGAAACCTTGCATGCACGTTGAGGGTAACGAATCAGTTGAGTGCCACTTCCAGTTAAATCTGAATCACTTTTTAGCCTTTTCTGCTGCGTACAATGTTCTTTTATATGCTGTAAAAGAAGCAAGTCAGCATTAGATTTGCTCTAAAAAAAAAACACTGTGACTACACCGCCACATTAGGAAAAAAAGAAATTTACAAATGTATCTTCTATGTGATGAATTCTTCGCTCTTTTTCACAACTTAATCATCATTTTAAATTACCTTATCAACAGATTTGCTGGACGAAGTACACAGACGATTGCATATAATTGCACGCAGTGTTGCACCAACGCACTCTGCACCGCCATTTGCTGGTGATGGATTGCTGCAACGCCGAGTGCTTGTAGAAATACCTATGCTACCAGCTATATCAGCGCAATTACATGACTGACAAGAAATTGCAGACCACTCGGACCATTGTCCATCGATACGCTGCAGTAGAAAAATATTTCAAACAGATATTGGAATAAACTTTAGAGGTTTTAGAGAAGGCTAAGTTCAATGCAATCAAGTTCTTTAAACGCTTATGAGAATGCAACCTGATATCGAAGTAATGGAAACTATGAATAAATAGACTGTGGATCGAGCAGACAGATTCATGCATTTAAGTGCATGAATCTGGTTCTTTTAAATAGTCTAGAATTTAAATAGCCAAATACCTTAGGTATTGCAGTAGGATCAACACCAGGCCATGGTACGCACCGACCGAGTTCGCACCATTTCGATGAACCACAAAAAGTCCCCTCAAGAGCTGGATGAGAAGTAATTATTCGACCGAATGATGACTGCCCGCACCAGATCATATAACATATGCCGTCATAATGATCCTGTCGTGGACTGATCTACAGAAAGAAAAATGTGCTTGCAGAATTTCAGCATGAAAGATTTGCTTCACGCCAGATGTGTTCCTCCACAACATTTAACTTTTTAACATAATCTTTCAACAAACAAATCAAATGAGCAACATTTTCTGTTTTCCCTTTGATCTCAGATTGTAGTCTATTCATATGTGACATTTAAGTTATTCTTCAAATTTCGTTTATGAGACATTCAGTTTCTTTTTTCATTAATTTTTATTTTTTTATACGCAATATCAAATTAGTCTCTCCAAACAATTACTCGACTGAATAATCTATAAAATTTTTTAGTTGTCGCTTTTCGATTAATAATAGTCTAAAATGATATTGGAAAATTATTTTATCATCACTTTCCTATCAACTGAAAAGTTTCTTTATGATTTTCTTCCACTCCTCTTCATAGCGAATTCCACTTTAAACTCACTTTGTAATATTAATTATAGTAATTTTCCACGATGTTTTCAGATTAATAGTCTAAATCCAGTTAATAGTCTAAAAAATAGAAAAGAGATAGCACATGTAAGGAAATCTTAAAGGAGAAGTGAAATACAAACAGGGCCTAAGACAGATTCATTCTAAGCAACTAGAAACGAATTTGCAGTTTATTCCTTCTTCTCCCTCAAATACGAGAATGATATTCATAAAACCATGCATAATCAATGATTCCAAATGGAGAACAGACAAATCTTAAACCTATCTGATAGCTAAATTGAATCTTCTATATAAAACCAATCAATTTTACTCCCTCTGAATTACACGACAGAGGTAAATACACAAAGAAAAGAATCCTCAAACAACATGAAATTTTGTGCAGAAAAAAAGATCTTTGAAGATGGACTTTGTTTTGCTGAAAATTATGAACAAAAGGGTTTTGAAGCTTATTTCTAGTTAAGAAAAACGACAAATCCGTTAGTATTTTCTGCTTAAAAACAAAATAATGAGCAAAAGTCATGACTGTCTTTACTTCAAAAAAAAAATTTTTTTTCCTTTTTACTCCAAGTGCGCTTTTAAACCTCTTCCTTCAAAATTATTCCAGTGAGTGAACAGTCTCTTAAATTCACCCACATAAAAGATTCTAATAATAAAAAGTGAAGCAGCCTAAAAAGAGAAAGCTTATTTGATGATATTAAGAAGTCTTTGATTCATAATATTTAAAAGATAAATTTCTGTCAGTAAAAAGTACGGGTGCAGACTAAGCAAAAGTTTTTTAATCAGTTTAGTTCAGCACTATTCATCTTCTCTACATTTTTAATTAGAATTAAATTTAAGTTAAGGATTGCGGGAGTTTGTAAAATGAATGTCAAAATAAGTTCTGCTATAATACTAGCTAAAATGAACCATGCAATAAAGTTCGATTTTAGCAAATTTAGTTAAAGATAATATCATTGGAAATTAGGAAAGTAAACAAGTCTCTAAAATGATACGAATGACTGATGGTGCATAATTTACCAATTACAACAAATGAAAATAACTAAAAATAAGATTACTTTTCATAACAGCTGAGAAAATAATAGATAGATTAATTTATTAGAGAATTTCAAACTATACTAAATCAAAAATGAAATTTTTGAAATTCAGACACTGAATAAATGACACTGCATGAAATATTCTGAGATATGGCAGACTAACTCGGAAATTTACCTTCAAGGACAGTAACAATGCAAAAAATAAATTTCCTTAAGTAATAAAGATCGTCTGAGATAAAACTGCTGTAATGAATCAAAAGTATATTAGTGATCTGTATTAGAAGATTAATGAATTATATCAATGATAGTGATGAGAACAACCTGCCGATAGCCTTGACCATGCATTATGTAACATTGCATATCTGCATTGTAAACCTGGCCTGGCTTGAGATCTGTTCTCATTGTTAGCTTTTGTGGTAAGTTGGATACTCGTAAACAGTTCTTGTCGCGACTACTGAAAAGCATCTAATCTTAATAACAAAAAAGGCTTAAAAGACAAACAAGCAGACTGAATTAAAAATGATCATCAGTGTACAGAATCTTACAAATGAACCACAAGCTTATATTCAAAAAACCAAATTTATTAATAGTACCCACTCGAGACGTTGCAAAAATACATGATAGTCACGTAAACTACAAATTGACCAAGTTACTTTTCCTGGACCTAGTGATGAACTCATGATGTGCTTTGCTGGACAGTATGGCTCGTCATGGCGCATCCCGACGCTGCAATATTTAGCTATAAGTTATTTCACTACTAAGAATATAATTAGACATGAAATCAGCAAATCTTACGAAAGACTTACCTGTGACCAAGCTCATGGGTTCCAATAAAAGCTGAGGTAAAATCGAGTCCTTCAGCCAAAGTGCAACTATTCCACGGATCACACATGCCGTCCAAACGAGCAATACCGCTTATAGATCGTGATCCAGTACCGCGATGAATATCATACCTAAAGTGAATGTCGCGATATTCAAATTCGCTTCAGCACAATCAACTACCAGACGATCTTATTTAAGGAGATATAATTCCATGTATTTAATATGTGGCTCAACGTTTAAATTTTGTGCTGTTCTTAATTTATGCTATTAATCAATTTTAATCACATATAAACGCTTCTAGATGGGTCCAGCACTCTGACAAAGTCACAAAAAGAAAGAGTGGTCAAGCATATAATGATAGATGAACCCTGTAAGCAGAAGAGCGTGATCCCAATCACGTGTGCTCAAACTTCGTTGATACTTGCAGAATCGATCCAGGTATTTCTGAGCATGCCCGCTGTTGTGTAAATGGTCTGCCATGGCACTCTAAAATTCATTCATGTTCAGTGCATATTTTGACTTCTTTCCCATGACTTTGATCCTCCATAGCACTTAAAATTCAGCAATTAACTGCTTATTTCTTATTTTTACTGCTTGATATTATAATACTACATGTTACCAGTACCGTGGTTCTGGTAATACAGTGATAATATTTTATTGTTGGAAAGGTGGGTTACCCCATAATAAAAGTTGGACATGCAGAATTGTTTAATATAAATAAGCCCGTGCTGATATCTGATCCAGGATACAGTATGCTTGATTATTATTTACTGCAAGTAAAGAGCTGCTTTATTTCGACAAACTGTGTGAACGGAGATAAAGAGGGATTTAATTAATATTTAATTATTTACATTAATTATGTGTTTAATGAGAAAAGTGAAATGAACTATTCACTTATTCGCTAGAACACAAAATAATTCCAACGAAATCAGCTTTTCCTTCCTTACTGGCACTCAACAAACTACTCAATCTTCTTCCCAAACATCGCCACGGTAGAAGAATCCTTGTCACAAAAAGTGTGCGCAGAATGACTTCCCAACTGCTTACAACAAAACTTTCACATTCCTTCCTTCAGTCTCAGAATAAAAGTTAGAGTGTTTAAATGGTTGTTTCGAAATCAACGACTAAAGTACTAGATGCAGTTTCTCTGTACACTTTTTCTCTCTATGATATTCTCTATCCTTATACAGAATGATTTTGTTACATTTTGGCAGTTAAAATAAAATGAATAATACTACCAGTTCTTTCTGTTTTTTTTTAAAAAATAGATAACTTCACTTCAATTATTTTTACTCAGTTATCGATCATTTTATCTTAACAAGCAATCGATAACATTAATCATTAGAATCTGAGAATTGTGCAGAGAATTTCAGATGTATTCGGTCCTGGAAGATCAGAAAAGGCGGAAGAAAAAATTGATACCGGCTGGATGGTGAGCACTTCGAATCTCACTACATGAAATGATAGCTGTGGAATGGCGCTTGGTTGATGGTACATAATTTGTACATTGTTAAGCATTGTTAGCGCATAATCTCGTAGTTTAGTAGCTGCATCTACTCCATATTTACTGCTAAAAAGCTTCCATAACATTTCATCCACGAATATTGCCAATTCTACCTGAAAATTAAACTTGAAATAGTTGTTGCACAGCGATACAAAACTTTAGAGACTATGGTTAAAATGGAATATTTGAAAAACTGTGAATTTTGCGGATTCTACGCTGCAAGATATGATACCTGCTGAAGTTACGAAATGAAGTAGTCACTAAATGCATAAAATCCCATTCCAACTTATTGAAATTTTTTACACTTTAAATGGAATAATGACACTACAATTTATTATCGCTAATTTTCTTTCTTTTTCCTCTTTTTCTTTATCTTGAACAATCCCCCAAAGAATGTCTTTCCGAAATGATACTACATTTTTTATTAAAAAAAGTGCAATATCATATTAGTTGTTGAATAAGGCACAATTCATTTGTGCATATTTGCATTCTTGGAATTTTATATTTCTAAAAGAAAGCAGTGTGTCATTTAGCGATGTGTCGTCCCTTTCTGATAATTTAGTACCATTCAAATTATCCTTTTTACAAATGGTTATTTACACACCATTGAACTCATTTAGTATTTCAGTTTTCTCATATCTCATCCGTAATAACGAAGTTTGCTATCATTAACAATCAATTAATCAAGCTTGCTGCTAAAACTACTGATGAATCATTGTTTACGCTTAGATGATGAATTCAAATGAAAGCTTTCAGAATGACTATAAATTGTTATAAAAAATTGCTATCGGTAGCACTAACAATATCAGTGGCTACTTTCCTCTTATCTATGAAATAAAATAAAGTAGTATAATTAGCTCTATGAAAGTAGCAATAATGGAAAAGTAATGGTAATTAGCAATTAGTAATAATAACTTGATTGATGATACCTCTTCCTCTCTATGAGTTTTATTCCAAAAATATTTTAACGATTTCTTTCTCTTTTGCTACTTTATTCGTCTTTAAGAGTTAAAAGTTGCAGCTAGGAAATTAATATGGTGGACAGAATCTTAAAAGTGTCGGAAATTTGAATTAAGGTTTTAATGTAAATTATCTTAAATAACTTACCTACCGATCATCCAAACTCATCTTCTATTTTGTTATTTTTTGAATTATTAGAAGAATTTTCTTTTTTGAAGAATATTGGTATATAGTAAAAAAATGTGTGCAAATAAGATTGCATGTCAATCAATACTCATAAAAACTTATGAAGTTGAAATTTTATGTGCACTGAGCCAATCTATCTTGCACTGATCAAAATTTCAGGCATTACTTAGATGCTGGAATAATTCCATTTGAAAACAAACAATGAGTTCGCCTTCCTCGTTCAGACGTTGCCCAACTGCAAACACATCTTCGCTCACTTCGTTCTCACCCTCGGCGAGTTCAGTCGATGTAATTGTCGATTCCAGGCCGCAAAATTCTTTTCGCGTCGCCTCGCGTTTGTAGATAACATGTAGGCCAGGATCTGAGCCTAAATTTTTATGCCATTTAATTATGTAAGAGTGATTAAGGAAGTTTATCAAGACATTCCCTCGTCTTTTTATCGTCATTAGCATTTTACAAAACTGCTTTTCAACTAGGTAAAATTGGCAAGGCTATTTAATAGAACAGTCCTTAGGAAGTCGTAGAAAGTACCGTTCCGGTTGTTCTGATCAAATCGATGAGCGTGGCGATCGGGTAACGGATGCAACACATAAACATCATCTGTCACTACAATTATACCTTTCTGAAAAAAAAAAATCTATTCAATATCTTAAATTAAAAAATCTTTTAAATTACTACTATAATTGAATATTTGTCGCCAAGTTTTTCAGTGCTTGAAAATTTGAGTAAAGCATCTATTGCTACATATTTCACGAAAATTTTATTATTTTTCTCTTTATAAAAATGAATATTTATGTTAAAACCTCATAATTTAGTATTTCCTGTGCACATTCAACTTTCAGTTAAAATTTTTTTCCAAAAATATATCTTTAGCATAAATATCTTTGTCATACATCTGTCTCTTTGCCTTTTTGAACCATTGCATTTTGTCAAAAAAAATGTTAGGTCAAAATTGAAACAAAAAATTTTAATACTTTCTAATGCCTAGGCCTATGTCAGTCTAAATCAGAGCCTCTGTCAACTTTCCTTGCAATGCTTGCAAAGTTTGATTTTTAAACCATTTTCAATTCACAATTCTTAAACTTAGTTCCGTATACTATACCTCATCTGAAAGGACAAGAAGCGATAAATACTTAAAGTTAATTTTATGTGTACTAAATAAATTTAACATAGGAAATTTTTTAGGAAAAGAAACAACGAATGACCGAGAAGTATTTCTAAAGAATTTTCGCAATCATATTTATACCGCTGATAAAGTTCGCCTGTTACTATTTCACATAAGTGTCAGTTTCGCAAACTTTGCCCGCATCAGTATTTTCATTTTTAACTAAACCTTATTGTGATCCATTTCATTTTCTTCCATTCATCCACCCTTTCCTTTAAGGAGTCAGATAACGAATTAAAGAACATCAATTAGATTCCAGAACACTTTCTTATCTTTCAATCCTTCCGTTTTGCAAAATAATTTCAGATCTTCGACAACCAGAAAGTGATTTAATTAAGGAAGTAATATGAAATCAATGCAAGCTGTAATAGGCACTGACGAGATTCCCATCACAATTGCTGATAGCTGCGTATACATCCTTTGATTTGTGCTGATAATGACAGCTGATCGGTGGTAGTCCAACCTCCAATTTCCCACCACCATGCGCATTCCGGAAAACGGTCTTCAAATGCGGTGAGACAAGCGATTGAATGGTCGGTTGCAGCGTGAAGTTTACTTGCTTTCCATGAATAGTTATGTGAAGCAGCTTTAATTGACCATCTTCTGAATATTCCGCTTCTGGATATAATTCTTCATATTGAGGTACTGTAAAGACATATTATAAGAGGAAGTGTTCTCAATTTTTAATAGCATTTAATTAAAACTAAGAGAACCTTTATGTATTTTGGCTTGACCGGTTGATTTTTTTCAAGCTTATTTTTCCAATCTTCCAACAGCACTATAGTACATTTGATGTCGCATCATTTTATAAAGATGTTCGGAAATATTTCCTTCCGATGGTTTCATATATGTGCAATGTATTTTTTACAGTTACAACTTAATTAACGGACACTCACCAAAACAAGTTTGCAAAGTTTCTGTAAAAGAAAAATAAAAGAAAAATGTCATATAGCATTGAAATTGCAATGGTTTCTAAACAAATAAACGCCCTAAATCATTCCTAACAGTCTTTTGTCACTTGATGTAATGGTTAAATCAAAGGCTTTTTTATTAGATATTATATTTAGTAAACAAAATTATTTGCCGAAGTTTTAGTAGAAAAAAGGAACTTTTTAATGAGTATTATTTTTTATGCAAGATCAGAAATGCAAATTAAATTTACTTAATCATATATTGTTAACTGATGTCTTATTTTACACTCAAAACTGCGTCAATTTAATTAAAAAACTCCTATTGTTGCAAACGAAGGCAATATTGGTACTTCATCTGCTGACTTTTAACCATAATTTATTTACCATCAAAATTTATCAGAGTTTGCAAGCGTTTCTAAATCTCATAGTAAGGAAATGAACCCATTTTCGACAGTTACGCATTAACGTCTTTCTCATATAGGTCAAAGTGTATGACGACAACTCATAAGTTTCTGTGACTGAAGTGTTGGTGCATGGTACTACATCAGTATTGGACTTAAAAAAGCGGTGGGCTTAACATACCATCAGGGAAGGTATGAACACCAAATGTATATCGCAATTCTTCCGATGAGAGAAACGGTGCTGTTGTTGATTCTGTTAACTGTAATTAATAATTTTCATTCTGATTAGAACATTATTGTTAATGGCACATTTATTTCCTGTACCTTTTACAATTCCTGTTCAAATGTTGACACTTCATCGTCCTCTACACAAATCTCCTGCTTATTTAATTATTCCTTACACTGTACTGAAAAATCCATTGCATGCTGTATGCCATTTTATAACATCAATATTTTAAAGATTGACAAATGAATAATGTTATATACTTATTTTCTACATATATAATAGTTATCCATAATTTTATACACCAATAATAATAAATAATTTCATATTTGTTCAATTTTGTAATTGTCCATCTTGGTATTTAAGTAATATTATGTTATAAATGTTGAAGTGAAATAAAATATCACAGTTAACCAATGCTTGCAATTAATTGCGAAGCATTGAATTCAAAGAAAGGATTAGGAACAGGAATATAATAGAAATAAGACTTTGAATTCAAGGTCTAAAACAAATAAAACATCAAATAATATACTTCAAGGTCATTTGTCTTCTTTTTTGAGCACTTGAAGTCATTTCTAGATCAGAAGTCATCTCATTTTGTTATAAGTCTTTATAGCGCTCGTCAAATTTTAAAGCACTACGACGATGTAATGATATGCATTATACATGTATATAGCAATGTAATATACAATAATAAACAGACAATAAAAAATCAGGTGAGAAAGTATTATGGAGAAAAATGCGAGATAATGCGAGATAAAGTAATATTATGGAGAAACTACGATAAGGATAAATTTGGTAAAATAACAAAATGAGTGGTAATATTTGAAATAATATAAGCAAGTCATTGTACAGCAAGGAGTAGTATTAAAATTACAGAAAAAGGAATTTTGAATCTTTAAATAGAATTAACTTGTAGGAATAAAAAAAATTTAAAGCTAATCAAATGCCAAAACGCTTCTTCGATAAAGATAATAATTTCTCAACATCCGACGAAGGATTTATGTCTAAAATATTCCGGTTAAAGTTCAGATACTCGTGTTGGTCAACGCAAGTCAATTATCAACAACCTCATGACAAAGAGTCAACCTTGACACTTGATAATTCATCACCGGAAATATGATGCATTCGCCGTATCACCGGAAATATGTTTTATTTGCAAAAATGCACTTCGACGTGCATTCAGAGCATTTTCAAAAGACATTAAAATGTCTCTCACACCATCAATTTAAAAAGAGTGAACATAACTAAAATCTGTGTTTAATTTTAAAATCTTAAATATAATGTTTTAAAGTAGGAGTTATGTAATATTTTTTCAGACTTTTAGCAAAAATAGTAAAAAAAAATGTATTTTTCCATTTTCTGCGCAAAATGTAGCGTAATTTTAAATCCTAAATAAACAAAGAAATTAATGACTAATTTATGAATAAAATTGCAAAAAATGAAAATATCATATATTTAATGTATTTGTAAGCAATAGATATTTCGTTATTCTTCTAAGATCGCCACTTACTCCTTCTACGCTAATAAAAGTAAGTTTCTTTGCATTTTCCAATCAAAAAAAAACGAAGTTGTAAAAATTGAGATAAAATCGTGATGGAATATTGGAAAATATTGCTGAAAAAGGATGATTTTGAAGAAATAAGAAAGAGATACACTCCAAATAGAAAGTACGTTATAAGGAAAGAACAATAATATTTGGAAATATGAAGTACAGCTATAAATATTTTTATCAAGTAGTGCCTTCAAAAAGTAAGAAGGTTCATTTGCTTATTTGCATCATTGTACTGTACAATGATGCAAATAAACCATAATTTTAATAATTGTGTGTTCTATTGTGGTACTTATCAACAATATATCTAAATGCTTGTATGATACCTACCTGGTAGTAAAAAGTGAGAAGGAAAAGATGGAAGAGAGATGAGAAAATCACTTCCGTTCCCTTCACACATATAATAAGCGAAAACAATGACTGTTGCATTGTTGTTATTGTTGTTATTGTTGACTGGCTGAGATGGAAATGAATTGTGTGTGAAACGCCGTGCTTTGGCGCTTCTTTGATATCGAAGATGCAAAAAAAACAGTGCTGAATAGGAGGTGGCACTTTCCACTGTTGGCCTTAGATGTCGCTACTCACCGTGTCGTGTCTGGTCGTTACCGTTATCGATGTCGTTAGTGTCGCCGCTGTTGTAATTACTATCTTTTGTTTTTGATGATGAAGTTAATGATAGCAATATAGCAGCGCTTTGCTATTCATTTAATCAGTTGATAGTGATGGGGATGGCGATGATGATAATGGAGGTGATTGCAATCAAAAACCAGTGGTGAGAGTAGAGTAATTTTTAATTTGGGAAATGCGAGATTGAAAGGCAGTATGTGAAGAAGGAGGAAGAAGAAGAGGAAGAGGAGGAAGAGGAAGGACAACTAGGGGAAGTGAGTTCAGGAGTTCGGAAAGCAGGGAGTCATAAAATGAGCAAGATGTGATGCAACAAGGAAGATTTTTGTGCAGGAAAAGTCCTTTGGTGGAGAAGTAGGAAGAATAACTATTTCAAATTAAATTATCGTCCTCTTCTAGTCCGATTAATAGCGATAGCTGCCGGAAAGTGTCGCAGATTTGCAAATATTCTTATGGAAATTCTTACGATCTTGTAATTTTTCCTCCGCAAAATATATTTTTATTTTGGAATGGACCAAAATATGTTAATTAAATAAATGGAAGCGACTGTTTCGTCCACATAGTGGACTTTCAGGATAGTTAAACAAGGAGACAGAATTGATTTAAAAAAAAGAGCACTGGGTAACCTTTTTCGCAAACTATCTCTCATCGATAAATCAAAGTCTGAAAACGAAGTTGCAGTTACTGGTCATTGAATAAATATGTGAAGCAAATTAGTTTGTTTGGATCGACTATTGGAAATCTCAAGTCAATCATATCTGTAAAATAACTGTACAATCGTTTGTTTAAGTTTTCAACATGATAAATTAAAGTTTCCATGGGGAGAATATCGGTGTCAAAGTGTGTATTTCGAAAGATCGTCGCTTTTGGTAGTATGGAAGAGAGACGGAAAGTATTCTTGCAAGGTATTTGACATCACTTATGCCTCTCTGAGTATGGATGGTGTGATGTGCATGTGCGTGTGTGTATGAGTGCGTGTGTGTGCGTGCGTGTGTATGTGCCAATACGAGGATGTATTTATATATATCGTCATTTCATATACCTTTTTTAAAAAATTTAAAACGGCGACTTTAATGATGATCTTCTATCTAAAGAACAAAGAGTGTAGAGTAATTGTGAGTGGTTTCCAAAAGTAGAAGAACGGTCGCGACAATGTTGGTAACATATTATAATGTCGTAGAGATTTTCGCTCATCTCTAAGAAACTTGAAACTTTGATTTCTTGAACTTAACACGTACAGAAAATAAAGGATAGTGACAGAAAGTGGTTGTGTCATCAATGGTGTCCCTCGTGTTTCCTCGATTTTTTTTTTCTCTCTATTGTTTCAGCTGTGCAATTCATAAAAAAAAAAAAAAGAAAAAAACGAATTACAAGAAATAGGCTGAAAAAAAACTCTAAAACGTGTTTGAAAGAAGCAAGCAAAGAAAACATTCAAAAAAGCATACAATTGAGGTAGGTCTACAAATTTGTTCGATCACGTCGTCTTTATACTTAAGAACACATTTATTTATAGAGTAGCTGAATAAAGTGAAATAATGTATTAAATTACCGTAATTTTAACCGTTTAGTTTTTGATACTTACAAATAGGACAACAATTTTAGAAAAGTGCATTTTCAAGGAGAAACGTATCACTGTAGACAGAGGCGCAGAAGTTATTCTATGTTTTGTGCTTAAGAATAAACTTACCGATTACTTTATTTTTTGGAAAAAATTCTCTTTAAAAATTACAGCGACATTCTCGTCAGTCGAAGTGAGAAAAGCACAAACATAAAAAGCGCCTAGCTTCAATAAACAGAAATAGTAAGATATCAATATTATCATTGCATAAATTTGGTATTATTTAATTAATTGCTTGAACGATTTCGATTTATTAGGCAATCATATTGAATATGTTGGTACAAATATTACAAATAAGACAAAATTTTAATCTTTTTTCCTTTCACTTTGCTTTGCACCCATAATTACTCGAAAATTGGAAAATCGTAAATTGCGTTTATGAAGCAATTATTTCAATTTTAAGATAATTTTTGGAACATGGTTGTTTCTAAAGATGTTACCTTTTTGGTTCAGTTTCTTCTTATTATCAAAAAGAAATAATTAGAGTAAATTCGGTGGAGAAACTCTGTTAATCATTTACTAGGTTGCCCACTTACAGTTTGTGACCTCTTCAGTTCTACAAAAACATAACTATCAATTAAATTCAGGATTTTATCTTTTATCCTTAGCAAGGTATTGAAGATAAATTACTTCAAGTAATATTTCCTTTATCTCAAAAAGAAAAAAATTTTTTTTTCGACTTAGAAATTTAGAAAACGAGATTGCGTGGCGAAACTCCGAAAGATCGGACAAATTTTTGATAGAACATTTTCCTCTCCTTTGTGATTTGATCAGCAAGATAAGCTTGACAATTTAAAAGCTTTTTCAGATCATTGCATACAAACTAATAAGTAACCAATATTTCTAGGTTAATAATAATGAAATACGATAAAATAATCCTTTTGGCAAAAACCATATTTCTTTTTGTATTTTTCTATTATTATTATTTTTGCTGCAATTACATTAGTATTCATTTCCGGCTGATTACCGATTTATAAACATTTTTCTGTCATCTGTGATTTCATTGTTGTGATCCAGCGGTAAAGACGCTATTATATCGTTCATCGAGAACGTCTTTACGTCACATTTACCGTTTCTTATCCTGATGGTGAAACCTAATTAATGCATATGTTTTGTGACTCAAATTCTTCATTTCTTTTCTTTACTCTCTTCTTGATTGCATTTTCAATTTTATTGCACAAAAACTTTCATCTTGCAATAAAAATTTAGTGCAGAAAGAAAAGGAAATGAAAGATTTGACAATATCGTTTCTTTCTTTTTGATAATTGAATGGATAGCAAATAATAGTAGAAAAAGTGAAATACCGAATGATTGTTAATATTGGCCATGAAGATTTGTTGACTTTAGATGTCTCATTGAGATTAACTCGAATGATAAGCTATTGAAACCCTAAAAGTCGTCCATCGTTTTCTACTGATTGTATTATTTTAAGCATCACATAATATATGATGCATACAAATGTGACAAACAAATACATAAACAATATTTCAGACATGTTAAAGATCAATTTTGTATATACTTTTTTTATGATTTGATCATTCTCAACTACAAAAATGGCCATCAAATTTCCTCCTTGAAACTAATAATAAACAATTCTAACTTTCTTTAATAAAAAAGCTTCCATCACAAAACACTAGCATATTTCAAATTTTGTAATAAGAAATTATCAGGAATGAGTCCTTCAAAACTTTCATGTAATGCATTGTAATTGACGGAAGCGAAAGCCTTTTCGCAACAATGCTGTGCACTTGTCAGTAACTTACTTATCAATAAGCTTCTTTCATGATGAAATGAATAGTTATAAAGGAACTTTTTTCCTAGAAAACTGTGTCTCACAGCTCATTTAAATAAGTTAGACAATAAATTTAGAAAAAATAATGAACTTTGAGCTATAAAGGGACTTTTTCAATTGTCGCTCAAATAATTTTCTACACTGATATTCGTGAAAAAGTTCTTTTATATTCCAAGGTTTCATTGGTTGATGAAGAACTACTGAGATCATTTAAATGACATGTTTTTAAATAATGTCAAAGATTAATTTGTAATAGTTCTAAATTGCGGGTATATAGTTGTGTGGTCCATTATTGGTCACAGTGATGTGAATCTTTGACATTCATTAAGCTTATAAATAAGGAGTAACAATATAATTCAATTGTTATCAACATATGCAATGATCGTAAATATAATAAGAATGAAAGCAATTTGCTTCTTTCACTTAGCAATATGTAAAATATGTGAAAATTTTTTCAATAAATATTAGTAAAAGATAATGCATTTGAATTAATATGAATGTTAATATTTTCGATACATTTAAAATTTCGAAGCAATGAAATCATAATTACTGATGGCGATTAAAGTCACTTCTGTTATAACAGTATGGATTCGATTATTGCTTTGACTTCGATTATTGCAAAAAAGCCAACAAAATTATTTAGTTGGCTTTTTTGAGTCATGAATCCTAAAATTGGGATCTCACATTTATATCTGCAGCTTCCCTATCGTACTATTTAATTGATGTTAATATAACTGCTTTCCGATGTCTATTCCAAAGGTTTAGATAAGGTACTGAAATTTTGAAATAACCATACTCTATCATTATATGTTCTCGACGTATTTCCGTGACATTTAATAATTGTTAAAATCCCTTTTCAATATCGATTACAAAGTACTTTTCACAATTTCTTTCAATAAAACGTGGTCTTTTTACTTCATTACGCATTTACAACCTACAAGTTGCAAATAGATAACTAAGAAATAAATATTTTAGTTCAATTATTTATAATTTATCTGACCTAATCATATACGTTTTCTTTCATATAGAACACATTCTATCAATTCACGCCAATTCTATTTGATACTGTTTATAACGAAAATCTCAGAATAGTTTTATAATGAACTTAAAGGACAATATCGAGAGTGCTACTTGATAGTTAAAAAATATTTGAAAAAAGTTTATGAAATAGTTTAATTACAGCAATGCATATGTTTGGGAATGTGATCAACATTTAAGCACTGTATCATTTCAAAGTTTCAAAATCTTCCTTTCCTTGATCTCGCCCTAATGATTTCAATGATCATTTCTCTGTTCTAGTAATAGTTCAAAAGATTTTTTAAAGCAATTTACGAATTAAAGAATAATCAAATTATATTATCTATGCATAAATGGCGGTATGGTTTTGATTGGAGCGATGCATGGGAGAAAATATCAAAAATTAACATAAAGGTAATTCAATTGGTTAGAAGCAAAATTTGGAATTGCAAAAACTTAGAAGCTTTAAGTAAAAAATTAATGTACAAATATTTTTAAGTGGGACAACCCAATTTTTTAAATAGCTTTAAAAAATTTGGTCCAAAGGAAAACCTGCGGTAGAAGGTAAAATTTAGCTGCTTGATCAAAATAATATAACATTTATCGTCTTAGTTCAAAAACCGAAAAGCTGAAAATTAGAAATTATATTGTGGAAATTTGATGCGAAGAAAAAGTACAAAAGACAAGTATAGTGAACAGAAGAGACGATAGATATTGCAGCAAATTTGTCGAAATTCAAGATGAACAGTAATAAACAATTCCAGAAGCTTCCGGAAAAAATCTGCAAAATATTTTTAAATAAATAGAAGCTGTTAACTAAAAACAAAATAAATAGAAGCTGAAAGCTAAATGAAAATGTTACAATAAAATATAAACATTTTTATCTACTTAAATTTCATTCGATGGAAAAGATTGAGGTCGAATTTTTGAAGTGTATTAGTTACCTTAAGCAGATATCAGCAGTATTATTGATACTAATAAATTATTAGTAGAAGGAAAACTAGAACATAAAAATAAAAATCTTTTATACTCTTGCTTGATCTTTGAAATTCAGAAGACGAAATTCTACTACTTTTACCTCTTTAAAACAATTACCCTATATACCAGCATAATTGGATGAAAGTCAACAGTGATAATCAACGAACTAAATCTCTAAGAATAACAGAAACCAATCAGTGCATTTTACAACTTCCATAATTCGTGGTGTGCTATTGGCACTCATTTCTGACATTTTTAATTTCAGATTAGTCAACATGACATCAAGCTAAGTTCTATCAGTTTGCTTTGCATGATATGTATAATTCTACTGTCTAAAAATGCAGCTGCACTAGTAATTTAAGCTGTAATTAAAGCATTTTTGAGACATCAATTCCAAATTGTTGTTTTAAAATGTTGTGAATTTTGGTAAAAAACTGAAAGAAAATCCCACAAAACTTTCCACTTAATTATTTTCAAAGTCAATATTCAATTGCTGGAAGAAGTATGAGTTAAGATTGTAATGCGATATTCAGAAAATTCTCAAGTAAAATGTTTGAATCTTTCAGAAAAGTTAAACTTAAAGCATTAGTAAAAGAACATGAAAAAAGCATGAAGAGAAACAGCGAAGGAGCAATAAGTCTACGACAGTGGTAGTCCGATCCGAAAACAAAGTACACAATGTAAAAACTACAAATCCTCATCATCAGCTTCCTTGCGAGTGCAATAGCATGCCAAACCAACTAAAATCGCGAAGAAAAACAGGGCACAGAATAAAAGCATCCAAGTTGCTAACTGAAAATTTAATTCAATATAGAAACCAAATTTGAAAATATTTTATTTCGAGTTTCTTTTTGTCCATCATTACAATTCTTTTCAATCTACTGGTCAGTTTCACGTAGTTCCATCTTTTTCGAAGGCATTTTTTACTTAACCCATCATGAATGTCAAAAAAGTTATGGAATTAAAATAATTCATAGCACCTAAACTACAATAAAATATTTGCTGATTGATCAACTAAGATGTCCTAAAATAATTTCGAAACAAACTTGATAGTCGCCGAGCTGTTTGTCCAGTTGAGCGATACGATGTAAATTTCCAACATCGACAGAATCTAAATGACGAGCATACCAGTTCCAAAAAACATGACCTTGCCATCGGAAACCAACATTCATTTCAGGACTGTCAGTTATCGACAAATAATTTAGTTCATCCACCTTCATTGCAGTCCAGTTGAAGGAAAATCCAGACGATTCCGGTGTCGGAATTCTGAAGTATATTTTTCTTTTCATATAAAAACAAGAAAACGTTATCAAATTTCTAAGGAAAATCTTGAAGCGACATTCTGCTCATTTCCTCTTTTCGATTTTTATATAAAAAA